ATGGCCCCTGTTTTGGGGGGTGGGGGGGTGGGGGGGGGTTCGGAATTAGGTCCAGACCTATTTCCTGACGTCTCAGATTGAGGGGGGGGGGTCAGGGACTGTTACTGGGGCATGCACCTGGCAGTGTAAGGAGTAGGATGGCTTGGAGAATCGTGATATCGGGGTGCTATGGGGGTGTGCGACATGCTTCACTCATGCTACAGCCACTCTGCACTCGGACTCTTCGTTTTGTCTGGTGGCGCTGAACGGTCAATGTCGGTCGGACCCCAGCCGACAGAAGACCAGCACCGGATGGGTCTCGGATGCCTTTTTTCATGTATTGTAGCTGCACTAGAGTGGCATGGTTCTAAGGAAACACTCCCTATCCATCCCCATCCTGAGACGATGACGATGCTTCACAACGTCATCACTGGAGGCGTCGCTGCAGCGACGTGCGACAGAAAAGTCCGGAGCTCTTTGAGCGAAGCCTCGCCCCGGGTAGGAAGATGGAGCATCAGCTTCCTATGGACTTGCTGTGCGAAGCGGAGACCCTTGGCAGTTGCCATCTCGGATAAAAAGAAACCAGGAGCACGTTGGAGCAGGTGATCCCATTTCTCTTTCTTGCCGGCCGACAGCTTCACAAAGCCGTCCGAGTCCACGAAGCCGAGACCTTTGGCCTCGTAGGCACCTCGCAAAGCCTTGAGGAATTTGTCCAATTCACTGACCAGCGTTTGCCTCATGAAGGCCCTGTCCACGAACTCGCTTGCAGTGGTCGCATCCGCGGCAGTCTCTACTGCAGATGCCGCGGCCTTGGCCTTGGGTGCCGGGATGGCTGCAGGCAAGTACGGCAAAGTCTCCTTCGCGATGCACTTCAAGACATGCTGGCCTGCTTGGTTGAGCTTCGCATGCAACCTGAGTCCGTCGGTCCACGTTTTACAACCGACCTCGCCATGCACGTTGTTTGCAGGCTCCATCATCAGCACGGTCTCTAGGCAGGATGTCCGAAACTCGTCCGATGTGCCTGGCACCTGTGTGAGCAATGCCACATGGATGATCTTGGTGGCATCTGCTGGCAACGCGCATGCACACTGATTCGCTGTGCGGATCTGTGTGCCCCCCGACTTTCGCTGCAGCGACCCTCGGAAGACGGACAAAGTGCATGCCAATGCCGGGGAGCCATCGTGGGCGATCAAGAGAATCTGCGGGGACTCCTTGGTCAAGGGACGGTAGCTCTCGACGCAGTGCAGCCCGCCGGCAGTCTCCGGATGCTTCTTCTGGACCGTCTGCACGAAGGATGCAGATGCATTGGCCCAGGCTGTGGCTCGGGCCACTCGCTGATGCGACAGATTGGCCATCCTCCTGGCAACGGCCAGGTCGTGTTCCCGCTGATTCCAATCATTGTCCTTTGCCTTGCGGTCCTCCAAGAGCCCTTTGCTCAGGGTTTTTTCCTCCAGTCTGGCCTGCCGAGAGAAAGCCCTGATAGGGCCCATGAGCTGTTGCATGCGACAGAGGCATGCATCCTCCCCCAGCGCACTGGATTCACCAATGTCGAACTCGGGGCCGCCCTTGTCCAGTGTCAGCTTGAGCACGTCATGCAAGGTCATGGGGACCTTTTCTTCATCCGGCAGGATGCAAGTGTCATCCACACTTGGCGGCTGATCATCAGCGGTGGGCCCTGCCTCTGGAAGCTCAGCTGGTGGTCCGTCCTCGCTGCACAGAGCCTCCACTTGCTCCATCACGGCGGCTCGATCTGTCATTGACTGGAGCTTTTCGGCATCCGTGGTGGCTGCATCCTTGGACTCATCCTGGAGAGCGACTTCCACCATGTCCGGCAGCAGATCTCCAGGGTCCTCCACCTCGGCCAGGGATCGAAAGAAAGTCTGGCCATCCTGCCCCCAGAACTTCCGCAGCCCATCGTAAAGCTCGTCGACCGTGGTATCGACACAGATGAAGCTCCAGAACTGAAGGCAGTCTCGCAGCGACGCTTGACAGAGCCTCGAGAGGTTGTCAATGGTCAGGCCCTGCCGGTCCTTCACAGTGCACGGTTTGTCCAGAGCCGCGGAGTCCATCTGCTGCAGCCGCTTGGCCTTGAGGGCAGCCAGCCGGGCCGTTCCATAAAGCATGTCCTTGATTGTCGGGTTGCCCCTGAAGGGGCTCTTGACTTCAGAGAACATCATCTCGATCCCAAGCTCCTGGGTGTATCGAGGCTCGTGACTACCCAGGCAGCAGTTGACGGCATGGGCGGCAGCACTGCACATGTTGCGGAGGGTCGTGTGCGAAATGCCTTCATTGGGTGCACGTCCTCGGGCCAGGTTATGCTGAAGATGCAGCAGCATGAGGAAGAAGACGGCGAAGCCATTGCTGGCCATCTGGCTCTTGCTGTAACCTGGACTGCCCCCAGTGCAACTGCACAAAAGCGCACTGACGAAGCAGTGCACATGAAGGCCGGCTGCACTCCAGGTTCGAGGGACGAAGGGCGGCGAGGACCGCATCGCAGCATCTGCATCGCTCTGCTTGTTGGCACAAATGAAGGCCTTGTGAGAGATGCCCTTGTCCAACTCACACGCCAGATCCACCCACAGATCGCCATATCTGGGCTGTTCAGTGGCCCACGATGGAAAAGCTGCGCATGCTAGGGATTTGTTATCTTGTGTTCCAGGACCCTCGAAAAAAAGGAAACAATACAAAACGGGCTACCACTGATCAACCTGGATACCGGATTTTTCGAATCCCGCTGCAGTGCTGGAGATTGTACCGCTTCGCGACGTGGAAGTATCCGTTGGAGGGTGTCATCAGGAAGTCGCCGAAGTGTGCAAAGGCATAAGGCCACATCTTCCACTTGGGATACGTGAGGCGAAGATCTTTGAAGAAGGGCAGACTCCGTCGCTCGTCTTCCGGCAGCAGCCCCAGCCATACTGCATTCACCTTGGTGTTGCAAGTCGCACCGTCGCAGGATGTCCCAGTGGGCGGGACGTTTGCATTGCTGGAGGTCAGGACATGCAAGAACTTCGCGATGATGCCCAAGACGTCGGAGGAGGATCCTAGAAGCCTGCCAGGAATGGCGCAGGCATCGAAGATGTGGGACCAGTGGCCGGGGTGCTGTAGGACGATGTGGAGGCTGGTCTTGGCAAGCTTATCCGCAGGAATGTCGCACACCGAGTGGGTTGCCGCATCGAGGCAGGAGAAGTCTGCACTGGGGTCAGCGGAATAGACACCACCGACGATTCTGTCCTCACCATCCCTGCACCCTCTCACCTGCTCGAAGCTGGGACTCCAGCAGGTTTCATCGAAGATGATGTGCGGTCGTCGGCCGGACAGTTTCAGGTGACTCAGACATAGCCGACACGATCCTTGCAAGACTGTGTCATCTCGGATAGCCACAAAGAAATCCGGCAGGCAGGCGTGGCGAAGGCTTCGCTTGGGGATTTTTTGTGTATTCAGCCTGAACCTTTCCATCACCGAGAGAAACTCCTTGCCCCGGCCGAGAGTCGTGACAGCCTCCAGCATAGCCTCCTGCTGCATCCACTGGCTGCTGTTGACACGCAAGTTACCTCTACTGGCTGCCTCCATTCGCATAACAAAGGATGTCACCATGCTGTCTACCAAGCTGTCTGCTTGGAGTGCTCCAGCTGCGATCCTAGCTGCGACCTCTAGGTCCTGTTGCCGTGCCTCGCCGGATACCACGGCACCGCCGAGGGCCTTGACCAAGGATGCATGGGCCTCCGCTTGGAGGTCACAATCTCTGTGGTGCACGGGCTCGTGCACAGACCAAAGCTTGAACATGGATTGCATGCTGAGGTTCAGCCGCCAGAAGGGATAGCAGGAGAGCTTCTGCCGAATGTTGCGAGCCCTGTCTAGCTTGTTCGGAACTGCCAGAATGCTGGCGAGATCTGCCCCTGCGAGGCCGAGGACCTTGTAGTCTCTCGCGTGCAGCTTGGCTACGAATGCATCCAAGTCTGCTGTGTCGTCGTGCAGCAGGCGCCAGGCCAGCTGAGCAAGGTCCGAGACATAGGCCTTTTGGCAGATGTATTTTTGCACATCCTTCCTGCTGGAGGCGTTGACACAGTTAGTGCAGGCCACGTCGACCCGACGACAACTCTTCGAACACTGAGCAGACCGCAAATGAACAGTATCACCGGAGGTGTCCACCACTAGACCCTTCAAGGGATCTGTTTCGCCTGCAGAGAACAGTGTCCGTGGCTGCCCGGCCATCACCCAGGTCTCCACAGACTCCCGAATCCTGTGGACCGGCATCGCAACATGATCCACCGGAGCACCGCTGCACTCGTACGCCTCACCGAAGCATTCGGGTCGGCTATGGTCGATGTCCTGCAAGGCAGCCACAGGTTCCGGCCCCGGCAGGTCCGGTGTCTGCAATCGCTCCAACCCCTTGATGTGAGCCCGACCATTCTCGTGCTTTTGGAGTTTCTGCTCGCAGGTCGAGCTGCAAAAGGCAATCTCCCGACAGCATGCAAGACACCTGTAGACAACACGAGGACTGAAGCTCTTGGGCGTCTGCACATACACATGGGATCGAGTCTCCCTGATATGTTTGTGCAGACTCCATCTCACCTCTCCCTTCTTGGGGCGCCCTTTGCTGTGCACCTGCTGGCCTTGCGGGGAAGCTGGGCCTTCCGTTTCGGCTGCAACGATCTGACTATCCTGTGGCCGCGGTGGCTCCGGGGTGGCATCAGCTGCTAGGACTTGATGTCGCAGGGTCACACAAACAGCACAGGTGAGGACCTTGGCAGGGTCGTGAACTCCCTCCAGAAAAACATACCAATGTCCGCTGGGATGCGGTGCATGGCTCTGCTCGTGCTTGCTCTGGAAGCTGGAATGAGTGACGGACTTTCCCCGACACAGTTCCGTGGCACTTCGTCGGATCTCCGCCAGACTTGTCTTGGTCATGGGCTGTGAGGCCGAAGCTCGCTGCTTCTTCCTTGGCCGGCTCTGCTTGTGAAGACTCCTAGGCGTGCTTTCGTCCGACAGTGCATCCTCCAATCGTTGTCTCGGTGCCCGACGACTTGGAGTCGACGGAGCCTCTGGCTCTGCCGGTCTAGCGTGCAGCGGGGGAGGCCGGAGTCTCTGGCTCTGCCGGTCTAGGAGGTGCAGCGGAGGAGGCCGGCTGATCGGGCTGAGCAAGCTGCTTGGCCTTGGCACGTTTCGCAGGCCTCCCAGACCCAGACAATGTTGATGCACCCTTGCTGGCAATGCTAGGCCCAGGGTCAGACCTAAGCTCCGGAGCTCCCGCACTCATGCGAGACAGCTGGACAAGCCTGTCGATGTGATCATCGGTTATGTCATCGGGTGCCAGGGTACCCGGCAGACCCTGCCCACAGCCTATCAGTCCTAGCAACCGGTCCATGACAACCAGGACACGATGCCCGCAGCACCATGGATTTGTCTGAGGAGGCACCACTGCCCGTTGCAGTGCTGATCCCAAGTACTTGCCTTCCTCGATCAGCTGCGACACGAAGGCATGCCCATGATCGAAGCACACCTGGCTCGAGAGGCCATCGTACATCCATGCCTGGCCGCCGTGCAAGGCCACTATTGCATAGTGCTCCGCAGAGTAGACAAGTCCTAGGACCAGTGGTGCAGCAGGCTGAAACCTGAGTGTGGAGAGATCTCCGGCATTGCACACTCACGAACCTGGGCCAGGAGGGGCCATGGTGAGCCATGGCCATAGCGACCATAGCTCGAAGGCACTGTGCATAGTCTAGCTTCTCCTTTGCCAAGGGAACATTCGGCAAGTTTCGCAACAGCACTGCTGCCACAGCGGGGCCGTCCATGTCGGCCGACGGATCTGGGAGCTCTCTCTTTACGGAAGCCTTCTCATGCTTCGCCGGCTGCAATGCAGGGGCAGATTTCTCTGAGCAAACACCAGCTTTCACTAGCACCTGGCACCAATCTTGCCATGGAAAGGCTTCAACACATGCTTGCAGCAGGCATCTCTGCTCATCATCCGGCGAGGCCACTCGAACCTCCTGAGGAGCTGCTATCTCCAGGCATCCATAGGCAGGGAGGTGCTGTGTCCAAGCCACCGGACGGTCCGCCTCCAAGAAAGCTAATGCCGCTGCAGCACTATCGAAAACCCAACGGTCCGTTGCACGGCAGTCCTCCCAGCGGGCCAATGTGTCACTAAGATAGTATCGCATGACAGTGCAGAACTCCACGAGCGATGTTTCCGCTGCTTCACGGCGACAATCCAGCGGCAAGCACTGGTAAAGCAAGTGACGGCTTGCATCGTCGAAGCTCTTCCTGAGTCGGATGCGGCTGGAATGACGTGATTTGGGACATCTGTTATGCTAGCGACCCTGAATGCTTCTGTGATCGCATGACTGCAGTGCAAAGCTCACTCTCACCAGCAGCAGCTCGTGCTTCGAAGCTCTGCACGTATCCTCCAGGCTTTCCCAGAAGCACTGCCAAGGACGTCGCACCCCGGACGTCGCCAGCAGATCGGTCACCTGCATGACACCAAGGAGGGGGGTCAGTCACTCTTCCGCTAAGAGAAGCCTATTAAAACCCCCATAGGAACCCCCTCACCCCAGACCCTTTTTCGGCGGCGACTCGCCTAGTGTATGACAGTATGTACTATGTAGGGTTTAGGCAATGGGGGGAGGGGGGGGTTAGGGGGGGGTCACTCACTCTTCCGCTAATAGAAGCCTATTAAAACCCCCATACGAACCCCCTCACCCCGGACCTATTCCCTGGTTACTACGACTACTAGCAGATTCTCGGGTACGGCATGGTACGGCCAACACTGGTCCACGTTCTACTTAACACAGTGCTGCTTCCAGCACCTAGCAGGGTTGATGGACGGTGTTAAGGGGGGGGTCACTCACTCTTCCGATAATAGCAGCCTATTCAACCCCCCATACAAACCCCCTCAACCCGGACTTATTCCCGGTGGCAACGCAGCTTCACGTGAGCATAGCTCAGGACGTACTATGTAGGGTTTACGCAATGGGGGGGTCATGGGGGGGGTCACTCACTCTTCCACTAATACAAGCCTATTAAAACCCCCATAGGAACCCCCTTATCCTGGACCTATTCCCTGGATTGGCTACTACCATCTCATGGGGGGGGGGTCACTCACTCTTCCGCTAATAGAAGCCTATTCAAACCCCCATACGAACCCCCTCGCCCCGGACCTATTCCCTGGATTGGCTACTACGATTTACTACGACTACTAGCAGATTCTCGGGTACGGCATGGTACGGCCCACACTGGTCCACGTTCTACTTAACACAGTGCTGATTGTAGCAACTAGCAGGGCTTATGGACGGTGTTAATGGGGGGGCCACTCACTCTTCCGCTAATAGAAGCCTATTAAAACCCTCATACGAACACCCTGACCCCAGACCTATTTCGGTTACAACTCGCATAGCATATGACAGCATGTACTATGTAGGGTTTAGGCAATGGGGGGAGGGG